ATCAGCTGCCAGTCACAAGACCATAGGGAGCCACTTGAAAACCACACTTCTGGTGTCTGGCAGGAGGGGCAGACGCTTCGAATTCCATTCCCTGGGTGAGCACGCTGACACCGGGACAGTCTGGGGAATCGACGGGCGGCCCACACCAGAATAAATAGAGGAGAAAGCTGGTGCCAGCCGTGGGCCTGCCCCAGGTTACTGGTCAGGGGCTCCAAGGTACGTTTTCCTCCTCAGAACCTCCCACCCAGAGCCAGTAAATTGGACCCCAAGGAGCCAAAGCTAAATGCAATACTGGAGCTGGGGCTGGAAGCCAGCTTACTACCTACAGGGACACCCCCTCCCTCTTCTGGCCTCTGGATGCCTCTTCTGAAATGATGGATGGTGCCAACACTGCCCTGTCCCATGTGGTAGCCCCAGCCACACGTGGCTATGCAAGAAGGCCCACAGGGTGGCTGGTTCATGCCAAGGTGAAAGGCAAGTGGATGTCAAAGATGGCACAAGAGTAAAGAAGCACCCTAAAAATTAATCCACTGATGATACACTGAAATACTACTTGGGCTCGAAAGGTTTTATTTTTTTTAATTTTTTTAATTTAAATTTTATTTTTATATTCCCCATAAAATTGTAACCCCCTTATTTTGCCCCCAATCCCTCCTTTCCCCGCCCCCCACCCCCCATAGTGTCTCTGGTTCATAGTTGTTTGTTGATTTTGATTTTTACTTTCTTATAGTTATTCTCTAATGGTTTTAAATTTTAAAATTAATCTTACCTCCTTATGTTTATTTTAAAAATGGGGCTAAATTTTTAAAACTTAAGTCACACATCTGGCACACATTTGTGGTTCCCATTGCATTTCTACTGGGCAGCGTCTGGACTAGGAAATCCCTGAGACATTCCCCATCTCCACCCACTGGAAGCAGTCGGAGAGTTTACTGCGCCCCACAGGCTCCAGGGTCCAGGAAGGTTAAGTCAGGAGTCAGAGGTGCCTGCTTCACAGGCACAGAGAGCACTGTCCTAAGGTCTCAATAAGTCAGAGTGGAGAAGGCCCCTTGCTTCCGCTGCTTCTGTCCCCTCCTCCCGGGCCATTGGGCTATTGGTGGAGGCACAGTGTGAGGTGACACTGCCACTCAGCCCACCAGCCTAACCTCCACTCTGCCCACACCAAACCCCTTCCCGATGCTGGCGTCTCACCTCAGAGCCTGCATGAGGCCCACACGGACAGGGGCCTCGCAGCTTCACCTCCCGCACAGCACTGGCTCAGGGCCCACACAGATGACCGTGTCTGGCTGGCAAGCAGGTCACACAGAATGGCCTCCCCAGAGCCTCCTCTCTTCCTCTTATCAAGAGCTGTGCCCCAGAGACCGGTCAAGGGGCCTGCCCCTGTTTCTGCGACTTGCCAGACCTGTGACTTGGGAAATTATTTCACATCTCCAAGCCTTGCTCTCCCAATCTGTAAAATGGAGATAAAGAGTCCCTGCCACAGTTTGGTCGAGGTCGTTAACAAGAGAACGTAGCAAGGCCCACAGAAATGCTCAGAGAAACTCTTCTCTGTAACTATTAGCAGAACTTCATCTTCATGCACTGAGTGGGATGCAAAGCTACAACTGTGTGGAATGTGGGGTGAATGAAAACATCATTTCAAAAACATTTTTTTTTTCAGCCAGTCTGTTCTGTAACCAAAAGCAAAGAAGCCTTAACCTTCCACATACAACTGTCTGTTCACTGAATGGAGAAAGTCCCGGATGACTCCTAAGCCATACCAATGCTTCCTCCGAAAGGTAAGAATTTCAGCTGGCATGCGCTGTTTGAGAATGGAGGCAGGTCAGAGGCAGGGATTGGTTCCAACAATTTCCCACCTGAACCCTGGTCAGGGCAGGGGTGACCACAGTATAAATGTTGGGGTATCTGGAATCACCAGGGCTGCAAGCCCAGATATTCCTCCCCAGCCTCCCTTGGACCTGGCCACTGCCCCTCTCACGCGTCTGGCCAGTCCCAACTCTGCCCTCCCCACATGGCCCTGTTTTATTTCCTTTGCAGCAGTTATACCACACTGTCCCCTGTACTCATGATTTTGTATGCCCCAGGAAAGTAGGGACTTCTTGGGGCTCACAGCACCTCTACCACCGAAATTTAATGCCTGACATACGGTAGGTGATCAACAAATTCTTAAAGGAACAGATGTCTAAATGAATGAGCAAACAGGCAGAATAAATGTGAAGAGAGAGCTTCATTGAGTTTAAAAAACCCCACTTTGCACATACTGGGGATCTAACAAGCCAGGGGTTTCCTAGAGCCTCAGCTTGGGAGCTGGCCGAGCCAGCAGGTGCCACATGTTCTGCCCAAGACCACTGTGCTCACAAGGACAGCCTCACCATGAGGCAGGGGTAGTTTTTGCATTGGCCAATGCCATGCTTGGTTGATCTTAACTACCACCAGCTCCTAGGGTGCTGGGTGATTCCACAAGCTGACCTCAACCAACGAAGACACCCTATTACCCAGGAAAGCCTCCATTCCTCCTTATTTGACTTCAAGAGCTTAAAAGCCCAGGTTCTAGACTCCAACACCTCCGGCCTCAGAGAAGCAGAGGAAAAGGATCTGAATTCCACATGACCTGAGGTGGAACTCAGCCACTGCTCTCACAGCTGGTGTCCCAGGGCAAGGACCTAATCCCTCAGGGTCTCCCATTCCTCAAGTGTGGAAAGGACTGTCTCAGGCACTGCACTGGAGCAGTAACAAGGTAACAAGGCTGCTCTGGGTGGAGAGAGAGAAATATTAAAAAGTATGCAAACAAGATAATGCAACAGCCATACATACTATGAGGCCAATGAAACTGGGTGGCACAGAAAGCAAAGGGACTACGACCTCAGACCTAACAGACATAAATGAAAGATGGCAGAGAGGGGCTAGGGGTAGAAGGCTCCAGACTGAATAGAGTTAAGACCTTGAGGCTTGTCCCCTGTAAATAACAGAAAGAAGGACAGGACTGGAGATAGCAAGGAGGAGCCCACAGCAGAGCCAGGGAGGCCACCTGGGAAGGTGGTGGACAGCGTGTCACTGGCCACCACAGGGGCTTGGACTTTATCAAGGTCCCAGGAGAAGTCACTGGAGGGGACTAACAGAACAGCAACACTGAATTCATCTTCTAAGGTCCCTCACGCTGTTCCCAGGCTACAGCGTAGGAGCTCATTTAATCTTCAAACACTGAGGTAGTGCTCTCTCGTGCTGACTGACAGAAAAGGAAACTGAAGCAGCAGAGAGAGAAACGAAGGGCCCCAAGACCAAATGGCTAGAGGTGGTGGAGCCGGGAACAGAGAACACAAGTGGCCGCAACTGCTCTCTGCACCCCTGCATTCAAGGGAGCTGTCTGGGCTCCCTCTGCACTCTGTGATTATGGGCTGAGGAACGCTGACAAGGTCCTGCATCTCTTAGAGCCCCAGGTTCCTTATTAGCTTTGAAATGGGGGTGGGGGGAGGTGGCAAAAGCCACGTTCTGGGAGGGGTGTGAGCCCCAAAGCACATCCTGGGATTGAAAGCCCACAGCCTTAGTCCAGGGCAAACACTCAGCCCCTGGCAGCAGAAGGTGACTTGGGGTCTGGGGCGCCTTTGGCCCAGATCATGTGACAGCCCTTCTCCACTCAAGGTCTGCCCCATCCCAGCAAAGAGAAGGATCTAGAAAAACAGCTCCTGCACGGTCCTCCTGCCACAGCAGTGCACAGGCTCCGGGACACACAGCTCCCGGGGACAGGGAGGGACACTGCCATGCAGACTCTGCCCTGCACTAAACGCAGATCCCATGTACTGGCCAGACTCGGGGCAGAAGTGTTGCTGGGTAGGGAGGAGCGTGGGGTGAGGGGGAGGAAGGAGGTTTTCCTAGAGAAGCCACTCCGTTTTGGTGCAGCACCCCCTAACATGGTGCCAGACCCCTAATCAGCTCCAATTGACAGCGCTCCCAGTGGGAACAGACCAGAGATCCTCAGCCAGGGCAGAGTGTTCCCTCTTCCAAGCAGCACCCCCTTTCCACAGCAGATCCAGGCAGTCTGCCCTTCATCGAGCCGTGCCTTATTTCCAGACTAATGTTCCCTCTGCTAGCTGATGTCCCCTCTCTAGAGCAGACACTCCCAGCATCCCCGAGCAGGGACAGTGCAGGGTGAAGTTCATCCTAGGATTCCTACAGAGTGGACACACCCCAGCTCTGCCCAGGAATGGTGCCTCTCAGCATGTGAGGTATCCCAGCAACAGGAGCAGCAGGGATTCAGGCATAGAAACTTCTCTCCTCTGTTTGGGGGGCTTTTTATTTATTTTTGCATAGAAGATCTGGAGTACAGGCCAGAAGTTCTGGGAGTGAGAGGATTCACCAGAGACAGAGTGGGGAGCAGAACAGGCAGATTGACTGAAATACACTGCTGAGGGGAGCAGCGGGCAAGACAGTAGAGGTCTGCTGCGCCATGTGGGTAGCTCCCTGGCCAGGATGGAACTCAGGCCATAGCAGTGATAGCACTGAGACTTAAGCCCTAAGCCACCCGGGAGGCCCAACCTCTTTCCTTTGCCCCTTCTCCCAACAGGCACCCTACTTCTGCTGGACTTATACCACCCTCCTTCTCCCACCAGATCATCTGTCAGCATCAAGGGGGACAAACTGGCCTCCACAGTGACTCTGGAACTGGGTGGTTTCAGGACAGCGGCTGGGGAGGGTCAATTCCTGAATGCCTACTAGGGCCAGAGGAGCTGGGGTGGCACTGGGGAAAATGGAGTGCCATGCCAGCTGATGTTGGAGGAGGTGCATGGCACCCTGGAGAACTCTCTAGAAAGAGAAGTGAAACAAGTGGAGAAGGAAAACTAAAGATCTTCATTTCCTGCAGCAGCCTGTGCAACCCATTCAGAGGCCCTTTTGAGGTGGTGTCACATGAGTACCAAGTAAAGGGTAACATGGGCGGGGGGCAGGGGTAGCTAGCATAGGTGCTGCTGAGAAGGTGCAGAACCGCCGATCTGGTGGTGGTTTACCCTCTGGGGGATGCAGGGCAGAGTAGGGGGGGACACTGGCTTCAGGGCTGGCTGACAATCAGGTGTCAGGGATGACTCAGAACCACTTCTGCCCCAGGCTCCTTCAGCCCCTGCGAGGAAGGGGTTTGAGATTGTGGGGGCAACTCTGAGCACCCTGCAATCCCAACCACACCCCAAAACCAAGAGGCACAGGGGAGACACTCTGAGCCTTTTCTCAGGTCAACCCTGCTCTGTCTGCTCAGACCCTCCCACATTAATACCTACAAAGGCATCTCTGTGCACAAACATATGGACCCCAGCTCAAACACAGGCGCACCCCCCAAAACAAAGCCTGGAAACACAGGACTACAGTGTCCCCCACGCACACACATGCACATGTCTTGATTCTACTTCCTTCCCTGCCCGCCCTGCCCCACCCCTACATACAGCTTCTGGGGCCTGCTGGCTGCCCTCTGCCTGTGTGCTCTCTTCCCCCATCCCGCGGTGGGCAGCAGGGGCTGGGGTGCCGCTCTGCTGCTGCTGCTGCTTCCAACTCCTCTCTTCTGGCCTGGCGGGCTCCTTCAACTTCAGCTCCAGCTGAGTTTGTTTGTCATGTTGCAGGTCCCTGGAGCTATCAGCCAGGGAGCCAGGAGCTTCCAGAGGAGCAGGGAGTGGCTAAGCTCATCCCCTGGGGTTCTCCTTGTCTCTGAAGTTGGGTAAAGGGAAGCCCAGGGCTCCCTGCCCTCTGCAGAGCTAAACCCAGGTCCTGTCAAACTCAGAAGTACTTGAAGGGAGGTAGGAGGTGCAGAAAGCAAAGGAGAGGAGGAAGATACAAGGCAGAGGCCCTAGGAGGAGCCCCAGATATAGGCAGTAGGCTTCATAGGGGTGTCCCCAGAGAGGACAGGCAGGGGCAGGCAGGCGCAGCCACTGGCACCCTCAGAGCTCACTCACTAGCCTGCTGGCCTGTCCTGTCTCTCAGCACCTGCCCTAATTCTGATCCAGATAAGAGACTGTGGGTGAGGAGCTCACTCACATATAAATATATGATGATAAATATATGACAGCTAGGCCTTCCCTGAGCTGCCTGCCTCCAGGCCAGACTTTCTGGGCTCAAGCCCTGAGGCGTTAGGAACTTCAGGGTCACCCCAGTGCCCAGACCTGGGGGCAGTGGTGGAAAGCAGACTCAGGCAGCCCAGGGGCTAGGGACTGAGGGTGCTATAGTACAGCACCTCTCCACAGAGCTGCAGGCCCAGGGTCCCAGGGAATACCCCTTAGCCAGACACCCTAAATCTAAATGAGGGCAGTGCCAGGAGTGCGGTGCCAGGGGTCCAGTGCCAACACCCTGGGTAGTCTGTCACTGAGGCCCAGGAAAATCTTGGGCCTTGCCAATAGCTCCCCTTCCTGCTTTAGGAGCCGTTCTTGTTCTCAGGTTGAAATAAAATAGGGCTATTAGTTCACTGTCCTCTGGGAATCAGCACTACCCTCAGGACCAAGCCAAGTTCAAGGGCTCTTTCCAAAGAAGCCTGGTATCCCAAGGAGACTCAAAGAAATGAAGGAAAGCCCAGGAGACTGAGCCCACAGTTGCCTGGCCCCATCTGAAGGTGGGATAGGCCAGAGCTGAGCCAATCCTCCTGGCATCTTCCAAGGGTCTGCTCTCTCCTGCCCAGCAGGGGACGAGATAGGGTCCCTGGGATATGGTATCTCCCCAACAAGAACACACCCAAGCCTGGCCAGCTCACCTGACCTTCCTTGCCTGTCAGTCCAGCTGTTCCAGAAATAGAACATTTTCTTCTCATTCTATTTGGACAGCTGCGGGGACAGTGATGGTGAGAAGAAAATGTTGATTTTTGAAGGGGGTGGGGGCGCAGGGAACAGAGCCACGGGCCACTGAAGGGGGAGTTCTGGATCCAGATTGTGGCTGGGTGCCATGGAACAGCCCTAAGGGGTACAGGGAAAGGCCACTGCCACAGTCACACTGCCACTCAGGGGTACCACAGAGGGGTATCCAGAGGGGTTTCTGGAGCCAGGCCTGAGAGGAGTGAACAGAAGGCCAAGTGTGAGGGGGCGAGAATGATTCCCTTCTTTATGGAAAGTGTTCAATTTCAGGTGGGGCTAAGGATGGCCTCTCAGGTCCAGCCCCAAACCCCATCTGGCCTCATTCCCTGACAGGCCTCTAACCCCCTCCCCAGTGGGTTCAAGGTTGGCAGGCTGGGCTCAAGGAGAGGAAGACTCAGCATCAACAAGAAAAGAGCAAAAGACCTGGAAATTGATCTCTTTCCCACCCAGAGGCAACAAGTAGAATTATAGACTCAAGACACACGCTTCGCCCTCACCCTTCTCACTCTCTCTCACTCACCTCCCCTCTCCTCCTGGTCCCTGTCCCCTTTCTAGCCATCCCATCCTAGTGTCGCCCTGTCCCCATCTCTACCTCCTCCTGCCTGCCCCCTCCCCCGCCCCCCACTCCCAGTTATGTAAGGGGCCTGAGAACACACAGAGGGAGCTTTGTTGTCAAACCAAATCCATACGGAGCCGGAATTGGCCAACGCAGCTGTTCCCCATTCTGTCCGCCTTGGCAGGGTTGAGACACTTGGGCAGGAAGCCCCCACACACCCCCATTTTGGAAGTTGGGGCAAACACTGGCTCCAGGGCCTCCAGGCAGCTGAATGGGTGGCCGGGGATCAGTCACTGCTGCGTGGGACCACAGCAGGGAACCAGCTGGCCCACAAGACAGAACAAAGCCACAGAGCAAAGCCAGGGTCACAAAGACAGGAGAAAAGAGCTACGGGCCAGGAGTGGAGCTGCACAGCGACAGGCCCAGAAGCAGGGTGCAGACCCACACAAATGCACCCATGTTCTTGTCCACACATGGATGCGTGCCCGTACTCTCTCACATAGCCCGTGTACACACTCACCGACACACTTTTAGCATGCAAGCACACACACAAACTCACGCATCAGCCCAAGCACAACACTCTGTGTGTGCTCACCTGGAAGGCGTTTGAGCAGAAATCTCCTCCCTGCTCTGGCCAGCCTCCTCCATCCCAGCAGGTACCTCTGGGGAAAGAGCTCAGGCCTCTGGAGAGAAGAGGGCAGAGAGCAGAGGTCAGAGGCCAGGGAAACAACATCAGCCAGCACTTGCGCGGAGGCCCCAGGCTCCAGGACCAGGCCTCCCCCTCCTGCACCGGGGAAGATGTTCATGGACATGAGTGAGGGGCCAGGGAGCTGATTAGGGCGCTCCACCCCTCGAGCAGGCACTGCCACACCACCAAATCCACCAACCTGAGAGCCCTTTCACTCTAAAATGCTGAAACTGCCAACAACTGCAGCTCTCCTGAACTCCCAATGGTTCCGCAGGGGCCCACCCCACCCCCAAATCTCCCCATACCGTCAGGACAACCCAGGTGCTGAGATGGGGGCCAGGCTGAAAGACAAAGGGAAAGAAGTAGCAGACACAAGGAAGGAATAGGGAAGGAAGGCAGAAAAAAGACAGGAGAGAAAAAGAGACTAGAAAGCAGGGGGTGGGTGGGGGTATAAGAGAAGAAGGGGCAGTAATGGAGCAGAGAAGGGCACACACTGCCTGTGAACACAGGCTTCCCACTCCAGAACATGGCCTCCCAACCAGCCCCTGGACAGCCCCTCTCAGCTGGAGCAGGCCAGTCCAGAAGCAGGTAGCTGGTCCAGGTATGGAGAGCCATACCCCAGGGGGCTCAGCTTCAGCAATGTGGATCTTTGGGGTCTGGAAACACACAAGCTGAAAGATACCAAGATCTCAGAGACAGGAATAAGATAGGGTGCAAAGGAGGGGCAGAGATAGCCAGAGGCACTCTCTGAAGCAGTCTTGGCCCCTGGGGGAAGAAATGCTCTGTGATCTTGAGCATTACTATTACGTTTCTGAGTCTCAGCCTCCTCATTGCAAAGAAGAACATGTAACAAGTGGCTACTGCAAGCAGTAGGGTGCTGGGGCAGGACAGGACAGTAAAATGGTCCGGTAGTCTGATCGCTTACAAACTCTCCAATTTTGTAAATGTTAATCTCATTTATATACCTCAACCCTGTGAGAAGGGGCAGACACTGTCACCCCAATTAACAGCTGTGGTCCTGACCTGCCGGAGGTCACATAGCTGGGAGCAGACAGAGAGGAGACAAAGGATGTCTCCAAGAGCAGCTCCCGCTCACCCAGCCACCTGCCCCTCACTCCTGGACCAGAGTGAAATGCTCTTCAGTCTCTGGGCCCCGATCTGAAAGCACAGAAAATACATGGCAAATGTTACAGGCCCTGGCATGTGAGCTGAAATGCTTTAACCTAGAAGTGTGCACTTCGCAGAGGAGGAAACTGAGGCTGCCTGTCGTGCTCCAGCCCCTGCAGCCAGGGGAAGGTTTCAAATCCATTCCACACCACAAACATGCCCTCTCCGGCCATGCACTATCCCTGTCAGGGTCTCAGGTCTATGAGCCAAAGTCTTCGATGCACTAGCAGAAGCACGCTCCAGAAGTCTCCAGAACAGACAACCAGTCCCTGTTGTCAAGAATACAAATCTTGTGGGTCATTCCCAACCTACCACCGACAGCACACTCCCCTCAACCTGCTGGGACTCAGCTTGCACCCCTCTGTGGCCCACACAGGGTTCACAACAGCTCAGCATGCACTCATGTCCATCAGGGAGGAAGGGACAGCGAACTAGGTGGTTGGGGAGGCTTTGGAGAGCAGGGGCTCGAGCTGGGAGCTGACAAACACTGACAATTTAGGAAGGAGATATCAACAGAACCCAAGCCCCATGGGGGGACAGTGAGGGCAGCGGTGTGGAGGTGAGGTCACGAGTGTGTGCTAATGGGACCATGAGAACAGTCAAGTTAAAAAAAAAAAATGTTTAAACCAAGAAACCTCTGTCCCACTTTCAGATGAAACTGTATGTAGAAATGCAATATGAAAATAAAAGTGGAGTTGTTCTGGAGTCCTCATTCTTGAGGTCACATCTGAGAGAGGATTTCACTCAAGGGTGCCTTTCTTGGACCCCAATAAGAAGGGCTGATGTCAGGGGCAGGAGGTGAGGTTAGGACCAGTTTGTACAAGGATCTAAAGGGAAGGCGGAGGTGTCACCAGAGAATGGGCCCTGGCTGGGTGGAACGGGAAATGCTCTCTTCAGGGACAGACTCCTGCTCACCCCCACCTGGGGCTGCCACCGCCTCTCTGGTGTCTAAAAATAACCCCCCACACACACTGCAGGGCCTGGCCCTTGTCTGACAACAGCTCACCTGTCACAGTGGAAGCAAAGCCACCACTCTGTGAGGACAATTTGACCTGTCTTCTGTCCACTCACCAAACAAAGATTTATTGAACATTTACTGTTTTGCTACACATCACTCCAGGCATTAAGACAGAGAGGCTCCTGGAGCTTACATTCAAACCCCAGACTCTCAGGAAGGAAAGCACCCTAAAAGTTTTCAAATCCATTCCACACCACAAATAAGCCCCCTCCTGCCGTGGACTGTCCCTGTCAAGGTCTCAGGTCCATGCATGAAGGTCTTCGACACCCCAGCAGAAGCATGCTCCAGAAGTCTCCAGACCTAGGACCCTGCTGGCATCCTTCCCTGCGCGGCTAAGGCAGAGTCTGAGGCAAGCGAGTCAATGGAGCATTAAATGCACTGTTAGAACGTGCACAGTTTATTTTTTTACATCAAGACAAAATAGGAAGCTTTGTCTCTGGTTTTGAGTCAACTGCTTAGGACCAAAGAAAACAAGTCGGCCCCAACTAGTCCTGTTCAGAGCAACCTGGCCCCTCAGCCCATCTGTGACCTGACACCACCCCGAGCAGGTGTCCCCAGGGTGCACCTCAGCGGACTCCCACTTCGCTCCTGCCTGTCCCCTCCAAGCAGGCCTCCTTCCCTCCGCCTCAGCTGAGCAACCTCCAGGAGACACAGAGAGGACCGTGGGTGGGACAGAGGGACGCTCACCTGCTCAGACGGAGGACCAGCCTTAAACCAGGACAAGGCACGGGAGCAAAGATGCTCCGCCAGCAGCACCAGAGCAGCCACCCGTAGCTGGGTTCCCCATGCTCAGACCCCAGAGGGCCCCTCCCCTGCCCCACGTGTCGCTGTGGTTGCCGGATGAGGCCTTGCAGCCATGTGGGCGGCATGGGGGAGCCACATTGCCAAAGGAATAGGAGCTGGCGGGCAGGCCAGATGGAAGCAATTACCGGGCGGGAAAGGGGAGAGGTGGGGGCTGGGAGGGTGGGGGGAGGGCGGGAGGGAGGAAGGAGAACCCTGCCCTGCCCAGCAGAGACTGGGCTGACAAGCAAACTGCCTGGGCTCAGGGGAGAGTGCCAGGATGGGCAGGGCGAGATGCGGGGTTCGGGCCGCACACTGAGCTCTGGACTGGGAATCAGGAGGGTTTGTGTTACGCCTTTGTCACCATCACAGTGGCCTTGAGCAAACCCTTCACACCTTAGAGGCTCAGCTTCTTCATCAATCACAGGACAGGGTAAGATGAACAGGGAAGCAGTGGGGAACGGGGCTGAAAAGTGCAGGTTTTGGAAAAAGGCCTAGATATGATTCCCAGCTCAGCGGCTTAGGAGGCGTGTGACCTTGGCCAAGTCATTTAATCTTTCTGAGACTCCATTTCTTCATTTATAAACGGCTTCATGAAAGGGCTGGGTGAGGCTTACAATAAGTCGTGTAGGTCGGTTAATAGCCCATCTTTTTTTTTTAAGTTTCCTGGGCTGGGTTTTTAATGATATAAATGGTAACCGCTTTTGTTATGTGCTGAGTCCCTTTGATTATCGGGACAGGTGTCTGCAGAGGCTGCAGGGGTAGCGGACACAGGGCCAAAAGTGGGCACCAGCACATTGCTGCAGCTCCTGGCCCCTGCACTCTAGAGCACAGTTTGGGCCCAATGTAGAACGATAAGGTGCTGGTCCAGCACTCCATGAACTGTCCCTGTCCTCTTCCTAGCCACCCCATGCCCCACCAGGAAATCAAAATCTTAAAGCTCTTGACTCACTCAGCTTTGGAGTGAAGCTGAGGAAGCAGGGACTGTCCACAACCACGGTTGCTAGGCTTTAGCAGCCAGGCCTTCCTCACATTTTGGCTCAGGTGGACACCTCACATAGCTCCTCCCTGCTGGGTCAGAAGTTTCAGATTCTAGAGCAATCACATCACCATTCTGCAGGGCAGCTTCACGGGGATGGGGAGGGTAGAGATAGGGCAGTAACCTGGCTGTAGGCCTTCTGGACTTGACTAAAACAAAGCCTGCAGCTCTGACAAATGGCCCGCCTCACCCTGCAAAACAACCAGCTCCGCAGAACCCCTGGGCGGGATTCAGCACCTGCTGGCTCAGGGCACCCATCTAAAGGCACCTGCTGAGCCCACACTTCACAGACACTGCTTCACAAGTGACTACTTCCTCCATTCCCCCCCCACACACACAATATGTTCCAGTGTGGTAGGGTCAGGGTGAGGTGATCTGAGGTGATGGGGTGGTCAGCCACCCATCCAGAACACTCATGCAGAAGCACAGAGCACCTCCCAGGAAGGGGGTGAGAAGGAGAGAAGGGAACTAGTGACAACAGACACTCAAACCTGCCTGCCTCAATCAGTTCCGCATAACAATTAAAAGCTTTAGGTCAAGGTCTGGGTCTTGAGAAGGAAATCAAAGCAACAGTTAAACCACCAGCTTACTCGCTAAAGGGAAATGTGTAACCAAAGGCAGTTGAGGAATCAGGAGGGAGAGGCAGCTCCTATAAGCTTCCTGGCTGCCCCCTCCCCAACACTGGACCCAGCAGCTCGCTGGGTTCTCGTGGCTCCCTGGATCACCATCTGTGGACCTGGCCCTCCAACTCTGGGTCACTCTGGGATGCTGATCTGGAGGGTCCCCTGAGAGCTGGAGTTGTCTTGTATTATTTAAAGCTAGAGTTGCCCCTTCCCTGACAGAGGGAACAAGACCTAGAGCTGCTCTGACTGTGCGAATTCATGGCTCCACTGGTGAAGCCCCTGAGCAAAGACCCAGAGAATGTGTCCAGAGAGGGCCTGGGCGGGTACCCAACACTGGGGTAGATGCCAGGCCGGTGTGGGCCTACTACAGAATGATCACAGGTTAAGTGGAGCTCAGAAAGGGGGCCCAGTATTTCTGCTCCTGCTGGCAAGGATGGGGGGTGGGGGAGGGAGAGGAGGAGGTCCTTTCCAGGATTTGTTACAATTCCAGAAAGGAGCAGATTCTTGCTTCCTCCCAGAAAACTGGATCCTCATCATCTAAAAGGGCTGGGAGCATGGAGCATGGAGGAACCTCATTTCTGAGGAGTGGGCAAGGCAGGATAAAGAGGAAATGGATGATAGCCAGAAGGTACCCCGGGCTCCCTCAGCCTGGGCCTCCACTCTGGGGAAGGCAGTCCCTATTGTCTTTGAGCAGCAATTCATTCGCAAGTGCAAGTTCCTGGACCCTCAGCCCAAAGTCTAAGCAGGCAATTCTCACTTTACTGTCCTAACATCTCCATCCATCTACACCATCCCTGCTGGCCCCTGTCAACTTGGACTGTGGTGGGGGTGTTGGCACCAACTCCTCGATGGAGCCCAGGCCATATGGGGAAGCCTATGCTCTCTACCAGCACAGCGATGCTGAGACATGGGGCAACCAGAGCACTGAGAACGGAGACAGGAGCAGAGCAGGGGACAGGTGGGAGGGACCTGGGTCCTCCTGGCTGGAGCAGGGCTCCCAGACAGAAAAATCCCCACAAGTTACTTTCTAAGCCCCAAACATGTGGAGCCTCTAGGCACCCTCTCTAGAACTATGGAGCTGCTCTGGAGAGTAAGAGTATGAGAGAAACATTACTAATGGCAAACACTTACATACCTTTTCCTCTGTGCTGGCACCTCTCAAAGCACTCAACGCGTATCAACTCATTCAGAATCTCCCTGACAGATTTCGGGGCCAGGCCTGGAGGAGGTGTGTGGCAAACACAGCTCAGGAAACAGCAGCATGTGTCTGTGCCTCTCGTAACAGTCCAGCTCATACCAGGCCCGTTCCCAAGGCTCCCCAAAGAATAAGTCCGCCTGAACTTGGCTTCTACACTGCACCTCCCTCCAGTGGTAGAAAGCAGAGGCTTTCCTGAGAAGCCTGTAGGGGTGCCAGGCTGTGGGTGGCCATGAGGTCAGACAGGCGAGTACTCGAGCAGTGCTGACACCCCCACCCTCTGGCAAAGACCCTCTAAGCCAGGCCCTCAGGACCCAGTCTATGGAAGACAGGCAGCGGCCTTAACACAACACAGGCTTCAAATGGCCCAGACAGGAACCTGCCCCCAGAGACCAGGAATGGAGAGGGCAGTGCTGGCCTCCAACATGGCAGACATGTTGGCAGCTTTGGGCAGACTGGGAGGTCCTGCCCAGCAGGGGCCCCAGAAAGGCACCCACAGGAGACAGCCCAGACCCTCGGTTCTGCCCCCAGCTGTACCCCACCCTCAAGCCAACCCCATCCCGACCCACTGCCCACCGTCCAAGCAGCTCTGAGGCACAGTGACCTAGGCCCAAAGACCCTCACAACGCAACCTGGCACCGGTGTCCTGGGCAAGGCCAGTCTGCGGCTAGCAACCCCACCTTTGGGCTCTGCTTGGTGACCTTGCACTCCTGCACACAAATGGGTGCGCAAGGCCTGTCACCTCTAGGAAAGCAGCCCACCCATCTCCTGGACTTGATGAGGTCTAGTAGAGGTGGAAGACACCATGGTTCTGACGATGCTGAAGGTGGGGACACCTCTCCAGCCCAGGCGTAGGGGTGGGGGCTAGAAACTTTCCGGAGGCGAGGACCGTCCAGTTTGCTCTGGGCAGCTCTGGGCAGGAGCTCTGGGCTCTCCAAAGGGAGAGAAGAGAATTGGCTTCCCGCGAAAATTTGGTCCAGGAAAAGGGAGCCCGCGGCTGTGCCCGCCCCACCCGGACCTGGATCCACGCGGCGCCCACGTGCCCAGCCCGCGCCCCCACCCGCCCGCGGCGCGAGGCTGGGGGCCAAGCCGCGGAGACCCCGAAGCGCCCCCCGCCCTCCCCCGCGGGCCCCACGGGGACCTGGCGCCGCGTACTCACCCTCGCGGGTGGAGCGGAGCGGGGCGGGGCAGGACCGTGCCGCGCGCAGCCCCGATCCGCTAGGCGCACGGGAGGGCGGCGCGGCGCTGGCACAGCGGCTCCGCTCCGCCGGGTCCCTGTCCCGGGCGCGGGGCCGGCCTGGGAGCGGGCAAGTCCGCCTGCCGAGAGGCGGGGGCCCGAGCCCGGGCCGGGCGGGGGGCGGGGAAGGGGCCGGACACGCTTGCGCACACGGCCGGGGAGCCGACTCCGGGAGCCGGCGGGCTGGAGAGGAAGGGCGGGCGGGGAGGAGGAAGGGCGGGGCGGCCGCCGCCGGCTGGGGGGCGCGTGGAAGCCGCCGAGGCCCCGGGCCCGGACGGGCGGCGGTGCTGGGGAGCGAGGGGGCGCCCGGGGGTCGGGCGCGGCTGCCGCGGAGGGGCTGAAGCGGAGGCCGAATGGGGTGAGAGTAGAGCTGGGGCGGGCGCCGCCTGTGAGCGCTGTGTTGCATATGCTGGGCGCAGCCTCTGCACACCCGTCCGGGAACAATGACACCCAACAAAGAGTTCTCAGCTCTGCCAGGCGGCGAAGCGTGTCCTTCTCTTACTGGGGAAACTGAGGCACGGAAGAGGGAAGGCCTTGTTCACACGCGCGCCCCCCCACACACACTTCCTTGCATGGTATCCAGGTGCCCTGAGCTCTTCCTCTATCCTGGTCTGGAACTGGCACCCCAAAAGTGCTTCCTCTGCACCCCTCTTTTGCACACCCTCTCTTGACCTTCAGAAAGGTTTCTGTCCGTTTCTGTTCTTCAGTGAGGGCGCCGAGCATCCTGTCTCCATGGGGAAACCCCACAAGGGCCCAGACATCCCCAGTGAAAGCAGAGAAATGCCCAGCTAGAGGTGAACAGTCCAGATGACATTGCACAACCCCCAGACGCTTTCACAGTGAGCAGTGCTTACTGATCTGGGGGATGAGAGGTTGAGGGCCTGTGGGCGCCACGACAGGACACTCACCTTCACCTTCCAGCTGCAGGGATAAGACTCAACGAATGGTTGATGAATAAGGCAGAGCCGGATGTTGACTAACTGCAGGGTGTGAATAACTGACAGCAAGCACAAAGGGGCTTCAGAGATGTGCTAGCTTATGGTTAACTTCAGCTGAAACTGGAGGGCTTATGTGAAAATACATAACCCAGAAACTGCTCCCCATGAGCAAAGTGGAGACATCTCGGGTGAAGAGATTCAACCCGCATGTACTTCCAGGTTCCACTCTAAATCATACCTTGCATGGGTGGGATGATTTTTCTGCATTTCACCAATGTCTAACATGTTTGAATGGCCTGCCCATTCATTCAGCAAGTACGTATTGTATATTAGTTCTGGCCTGTAACGAAGCTAGGCAGAAAGAACACAATGACCAAAGTCCCTGCCCTAGGGAAGTTGAGAGGAAGAGGGGATATCCTCCCTGCTTTACAGAAAGGAAAATTAGCCCAAAGGCAGCAAGCAACCACTAGAAGTGACTAGCTAAGTCTGGCAGAGCTGAACTGAGAATTGGCCCCACTTCTAAACACTGCTAACTCTTTGATGAACTAGATCTAAACAGAGTTTGCGATGCTAGCTATAAACCATGTAAACTTCACTCTGCCGGAAAATAGAATCAAAATGCCAACTTTTGCCCTTGGAGACCAGATTTCCTACTCTGCCTCCACCACTAAATGGCTTTAGTTTTCTTACTAAAAAAAAGTGGAAATAAATGCTTATTCAAAAGGCTATTATTGGTATTAAATCAGGCAATGGATATGAGTTTGCTCTGAAAGTATACTTTGTGATATAAGCATGTGCTATTACTATTATGCAGCTGGAACCCCTCCACTAACCTATAAACTGTCTTGAGGGCTCCCCCCCCCCGCCCCCGCCACCCCTGGCTTATCCCTGGCCTGGTTACTGGGTGTCCAGTGCTAATTGTAGTTCTGACTCCTCCCCTTAGACCACAGTGTGCTTATTTGTGATCTTTCCCCTTCAGCTTCTTACAGACCCAGCCAGCTGCTTAGCTAACTGCAGAGGAGCCTTATCTGTAGGGCAGGAGGAAAGCCTTCCTGCAACCACTGGGAGCCCCTCCAGCTCTCATGTACTCCCTTGGCCCATCTACAAGACACTGCATGTTGCCCAACAAGAGGAAACAGTGATGGGGCAAGCAGAACTTTGGCTCCTGGGTGCTGTTCCTCCCAGAGGATCATGTGTCTAGAGTGGATTAGCATCCTAAAGAACATTGTCTGGGTCCCGGTTCCCGTCCAAGCCATGCAGACTCCATTCCATTTCCTCTGCCTCCCTATACCTCTCTGGCTCCAGCTCTGCTGTGGACGAAACTTGTCTGCTGGGGCAAACAGAGGGGTCTCAGGAGCAAAGAGGGGATATAGGAGGGAGGGCAGGTGCTTCTGGAGCTGGGAAGCCCTGGCCCAGGGGCTCCTTTCTGGCAGGCAGTGGGTGTGGGCAGGAGGTGTGGAACTGCTTGACAAATGTGCCACACAGGCTTCTGGCCCCTGTCCCTTCCATGTGCCACGTTAGCATCCTGCCCACTGAGAGGAGAGAATAGCAAGATGCCGTTTGAGGAAGAAATAAACCCAATCCAGCATCTCAGGCGCTTTTAAAAATAGCAACTCCAGGATGGTATTTCAGCTCCTATTTTTATCAGATTTATATGGCTGGACCATGGAGCTGATCTGTTCCCAGGGTTCTCAATAGCAGGGGACATCACTGTTACAGTCTTAGAAACCTGCCCGCAGGCCAAGGCTAAAATGCATTCCAGGAACCTTTCAGCTGGAAGAGATCCTGAGAAGTCTTTGCGCACAGCCATTGCCTCTGTTCAGGGCCATGATCAATGAACTGCAGATAGTTTATGGCTTGCTTTTTGCCTTAAGGTTTCTTGGTTGCCACGCCTCTCCTGCATCACCTTCTAATCAGGAAATTCTTTTTAACGTCTGGCCCAAATATCTGGTCATATCCTCTTTGGTCCTCAGAATAGGAAAATAGCAGCTAGCATTTACCAAGCAATTACAATGTCCAGAAAAATCCTCTTACTTAACCCTCACCAAAACCCTTGAGGTAGGCACTTTATTGCTCTATTGTAGAAGTTATGTGAGTGGCCGGGGATCATACTTGGTTATGGTGCAGAGTCTGCTGGAACCATCAGACCACACTGACTCTCAAGGGAGGGGAACAGAACTCAAGAAGTTTCCCCTTGGTCTTGGCTTTCATTTCTTCATCACCGTCTTGAAGGGAAATTGGCTCCTGTTCTGACTGCACATGCGTGCCCTGTGCTAGCAGCTTTGCTCCGGCTCCCAGCCATGCCACGGCAGGATGTCCCTGAACCACTTGGCCATTCAGCCATCAAGCTTCTGCCTAGAAGTTTGGCTTCAACTGGCATAAACTTCCCAGGCTTTTTTCAAGGCACTCATCACTCTTGTACTTTGTAATTAATGCCTATGTTCCTCAGTAAATTGTAAGTTCCCTGGGAGTTCTCTCTCCAGAGTAAAGCTTTAAAAAAAAAAAAAGAAAAAGAAAAGAAAAAAGTAGGGTAGACCTTTAACACCTGTTTTTTGAATTGAAACACTTTAAGCAGATTTACTCTGGATTTATTTCCTAATGGCTAGCATGCTAAAACTTAGTAATTTCAAGTTTATATAGATTTAATTTTTTGCATATGGATTTTAGTATCTATCATTTCAATAATAATAAGACAAGCATAGTGTTGGAAACATTTATTTTTCCAGTGAGCATACTTTAAAAACTGCCAATAATGACCATCATCTTTTTGTAAAAGAAAGGACATTTTAACACTCTATGCATGACTGGAATATTTAGCCCTTTCTGAGAAGGCTTAGTAAGACCTCCACCAACCTATTCAGAAGGTTACACTTACAAGGACATGTTTTGGATGTGGAAGTATCACAAGAGAAACATTTGAAAACAATACTTTGTATGCAATCACTCCTTGATGTGTTTCTCAGTTTGGGGATCTTTGTCAGCAGGGAAATGCAAAATGGAACTAACGTGTCCAACTCATCCTGAAATTATTTTTCACAGTTTCAGGAAGGAATGTTGACAAATACAGAACACTCAGCAATTTTGCTCTATGAGGAAACTTTTGGGCAAACGGAGAGTAGCCAAGGAATGATGCAGTCACGCCCGCAACTGCTTCCCGGCTGCAACTCAGCTGGGGAGACAGTGAGCCCAGATCTGGGGCTAGACTTGTCAGTGGCAGAGCTGTCCGGGGTTTATCTGGGAACGATGATGTCCACCGCTGTGCCAGCAGAGCGGGGATAGGGGCACACACATGAAGGACAGGCAGTTAAACACACAGGGTGCGCTTTCCAGCTCAGAGAACAGATGTGGCACCCAACCAGGGAGGGGCTGCCATTTGCTAGTCCAGGTGGGGCTGAGGGTTGTGGGGTCTTGTTAGGAACCTCTCAGGGGAGGCAGGAGGTTGGGTTCTGCTAATGATAATGGGGAGCACACCAGGAGACAGAATTCAGAGACAAGCTCCTTTCATTGCAGGTGAGAGCCCTAGGTGGGGCCTAGCGGGCAGCTGCCTCCTACAAGCTCATGTGCCCATGTGACTTGGCCTTCAGTTCTTGGCCAGTTCCTCCCCCGAGCTCTTCCAGAGTGGTGGGGTTCAGACAAGATAGAGTGGCAGTTCAGTGTAGCTAGTTTTCGATACCATGGGCAACTGCACATGCCTGCAAAGACCAGTAGGTACATCCTTTTTTTTTTTTTTTTTTAAAGATTTTATTTATTTATGCATACAAGAACTGGGGTGTAGGCCAGAGGCACAGGGTAGGGGGAAGGTGAGAGGATTCACCGGAGACAGAGTGGGAAACAGGCAGACTGACTGAAATACATTGCTGAGAGGAGCAGCAGGCAGAGGTCTGCTGCGCCATAGGGGTTGCTCTCTGGCCTGCCAGGGATCAAACTCATACCACAGAGGCTGTGGACAGCTTCACAGAGCTTAACCCCTTGTGCCACCAGGGAGGCCCCCAATAGGTGCATCTTACAGAGTCCACTCCTTTCATAGTCTACCATGCATCTAATTC